ACAAACATCATCTATAGAAATCTTTATCATCATCATCATCATCATCTTCAGCCATTTTGTGAGCTTATTCAATGGAAAAAAAACTTATTTACTTCTTACAACAACACCTACCACTAATCGATTAATTATGATGAATTCAAAACACACGAACACAGATCTATTTTTATCTACTTTTTAAATTACAAAATAGGGTTAAAATTGTTGAAAAGAATACCAAAAAAAAAAAAAAAATTATTTATTTTATTTTAACTGTCAAATACATACACCAAAAAATATATATTTTCTGGACAAAAATCAATGCTAACTAATTGGATCAATCAATCAATCAATCAAAAAACAAAGTAATGAACGACTTTTATTTTTATTGTGGAAACAGCAAAAAAATTGGTGATGAACGAAATAATCGATTGTTATTATTTCCTGAAATGATATGTTCTTTTTTTCGGTTTTGTTTTGTTTGATGTTTATTGATTGTTGAATTTTGTTTTTCTCGTTTCGTTTGTTTTTGTTTTTTTTCTATGGATATTCATTTATCAATTTTGATGATTAAATCATAATTTTTTTTCTTCTGCTTCTTCTTGCGCAAATAATAATAATATTATTCACACGACAATTAAATTTGTTCGGGTTTTATTTCGATTCTGTTATGTCATATATCGTCAATATCACTATCCATTCAAATCTTTGGCTAATTTAATTATTCCATCAAATTCCTGAGAAAAAATGAAGCGAATGCATTTTCCATTGTTATTGGTAAGCGAGGGAAAATCAAAAATCAATTCTCGAAACTAAGAAATTTGTTTCCTTTTCTAATTTGGTTAAATCAAATAAAACAATTAGACAATTTTTTTATTTGGTTGGAAATGAATATAATTGAATAAGATTTTGAGATCGAGAGAAACAAAAAAAGAAGAACCGCAACAAAATAATTGGATTTTGAATTTTTTTTTTTTTGGTGGCTGCCATCAATGATTCAAACAAATGAATTACTCTTTGTTAGATTGGCGCGCCATGTTATTTTTTTTCGTAAAGTTAAAGTCACAATGCCAAATTTGACAATGAAGCGTCAATGTTCGACTTTTACGTATCGTTCGCTAACATGTGTTGGAATGGTCATAATGAAAGCAAGTGAGGTTAAAAATTACCATTGAGACTACACGGTTAAAAGAATCGATCCTATCGTATATGAACGGTTCGTATTTGTTTGCAGAACAAATACTTTTTTGCCAATTCATTCTCTCGCTGACGTTCTGTTTATTTTTTTCTTCAAATCAATTTTTGTTTGATTTTTGAAATTAAATTTAAATTTTTAAATTTATATTTTTTCATCTTCAACATGGATTATCTTGGTAAAGATATGAGAAAAATACGCAAAGATGATAAAGAAGAAGAGAAGAAAGATATAAAAAGTAAGATAATCTTGGTGTTTGTTTTTGGTTTGATAATTAAAAAAATCTTTAATCATTTTTTGTTTATTTATCAACAACAATTAGCTTTGGATGAAGGTGATATTGCATTGTTAAAATCATATGGTGCTGGCCATTATAGTCGTGCTATCAAAAAAGTTGAAGAAGATATTCAAACAACATTGAAACGTGTAAATGAATTGACCGGTATTAAAGAATCGGATACTGGATTAGCACCACCAGCATTATGGGATTTAGCTGCCGATAAACAAACACTTCAAAATGAACAACCATTACAGGTAGCACGTTGTACAAAGATTATTAAACAGGAAAATGAAGAACCTAAATACATTATCAATGTAAAACAATTTGCTAAATTTGTCGTCGATTTGGCCGATTCGGTTGCACCTACAGATATTGAAGAAGGAATGCGTGTTGGTGTTGATCGTAATAAATATCAGATTCATGTACCATTACCACCGAAAATTGATCCAACTGTTACGATGATGCAAGTGGAAGAAAAACCCGATGTAACATATGCTGATGTTGGTGGCTGTAAAGAACAGATTGAAAAATTACGAGAAGTTGTTGAAATGCCTTTGTTACAACCGGAACGTTTTGTTAATCTTGGTATTGAACCACCAAAAGGTGTTTTGTTGTTTGGACCACCCGGTACTGGAAAAACACTTTGTGCTCGTGCTGTTGCTAATCGTACGGATGCATGTTTTATTCGTGTAATTGGATCTGAATTGGTACAAAAATATGTTGGTGAAGGTGCTCGTATGGTTCGTGAACTTTTCGAAATGGCAAGAAACAAAAAAGCTTGTCTAATATTTTTCGATGAAATCGATGCTATTGGTGGAGCTCGTTTCGATGATGGTGCCGGTGGTGATAATGAAGTACAACGAACAATGTTAGAATTGATCAATCAATTGGATGGTTTTGATCCACGTGGTAACATTAAAGTATTGATGGCTACTAATCGTCCGGATATTTTGGATCCAGCACTGATGCGTCCAGGACGATTAGATCGTAAAGTTGAATTCGGTCTTCCCGATTTGGATGGCCGTACACATATATTTAAAATTCATGCTCGTTCAATGAGTGTTGAACGTGATATTCGTTTTGAATTATTGGCACGTTTATGTCCGAATAGTACTGGTGCTGAAATACGTAGTGTTTGTACTGAAGCCGGTATGTTTGCTATTCGTGCACGTAGGAAAGTTGCAACCGAAAAAGATTTTCTCGAAGCTATTAATAAGGTTATCAAATCATATGCAAAATTCAGTTCAACACCAAGATATATGACATATAATTAATTAATTGAATGTAGCCCCCGTTTTTTTTTGTGTAAAAAAATGGACTGGATTGTGTATTTTTTTTTATAAAAAAATTATAATAATAAAATAATTATAAACAACAATTTTTTACGTTAAATTATATTTCTTTTTAATATTGGCTAATTTTTCTCTATGTCCTTTTGAACATTTATTATAAGCACTTTTCATAACATTCAATGGTCGTGGTTTTGATGATAGAAATATTTTATTCTTGTAACGTGATAATTCATTTAGTTTACGAAATTCTTTAATATTGGCCAACAATTTATGATTGGTAATAAGATTATAGATAAAATAATAACCAGTCATAAAGGCATCATTACCGGCATGATGTAAACCAATTTTTTTATGTAATGGTTCTTTGGTCATTTCACAGTTGATTTGTTCATCACTATTATCATTATCATTATTATTATTGATTGTAGAATTATCACCCAGATCTTGATTTGATTGTTGTATCTGTAACAATTGATCGATCAATTGTTTACTTTTAGAATTTTTTTGTGATCGTAATTCTTCATCCAATATTAGATCAATATTATGTGATAATTCACATCTGTCGGCTTTTTCACACCAACCATATTTCTTTTGATTTAATGAAGAAAAAAAGAAAAGATTAAAAAATATTTTTAAAAAAAGTAAAAAACTTACTGAATATGGTTCACAAATTTTACTAACACCACTAGCAGCACCACCATTATAACCATTATTTGTTGTATGTTGCATAATTTTTGGACTAAGATCAAATATTCGTATATCCGATTGATCATCATAATGATCAAATTTTAATACCATATGTAATGAATTTTTTAATTTACGAAAATAATTACTTCGTTGTGCATATTGAAATAGATATTCTAGATATGAACAGGATAAATGTGCAACAGCAATATATTTTGTATCGAATATACCATTCGGAAACATTTCAGTTAAATCGGCCATAAATGTTTCAAGTTTGGTTGGAATTTCGGCATAAAAATTATGATAAAGAAAAGCAAGATCAATAAAACCATTATGTAATAATAATGGTAATTTCAATGAAATTAATAATTCAATCAATCTTCGTAATGATGGTTGTTGTGATTTTGATGATGATGATGATGATGATGATGATGATTCATTCGATGAACCATCATTACCCGGATAGAATGGAATACCTTTAATGGAAAGTTCATTAAAATCAAAGCCTTGTTGAACAAGAAATTTCATTGAACGTGTTTCCATAACAAATTCCGTATGATTCAATGTAAGAAAATGAAAAACATTAACATTTGTATGAAATTGTATTTTATCATTGGTTTCTTCATCGATTTTTTTGTTGAAACTATCATTCGAAAGTTCATCATCAGCTTCAAGACAATCAGCAATTTGTTCCATAATCAATTTATGTTCATCATCGTTTGATTTACGTTGTTTAAAATAACCATTGTTTGAATCGATTTTATAACATGCTATACCCATTGATAATATTGATCGTGTAATGGCAGCATTACGAATTGCTTTATATCGTTCATCGATTTGTCTGAATCAAGAATGAAAACAAATCAAATTATTATCATTTAAAACGTTTTATATAAAAATTAAAATATTTACGATGCAAATATATCTTTCGAACCAAGACCGGACAGTTCCTAATTTGGCAAGAAAAATAGAAAAAAAACGTTACATTTTTCAAAACAAAAATTCATTGATAAACAAACAAACAAAACATACCAGATCGATGGCAATAAAATCACTTTGTTGCATACATTTCGTAATTGATGGCCACCAACGAACAAAATTATCATTATCAATCATAATACATGGAACTTTCATTTGGGCCATCATCATTATTTCATTTGATGTTTCATTGATATCGATTGCCATTTATGTCGGCAACAACAACAACAAAAACAGCAACAATAAGTTTCTATCAAAAAGTAGATTTTTTGCTGTTGTTGTTGTTTCAATTATAACATTCTTATTCAAATCAAATTAGAGCAATAATTGAGAAAACTGAAAACCAATGTTTTTTTTCAAAAAAAGAAAATCAACAAAAAAGAATTTTTTGGCCGCTAATAGACAACGTATGCGTATGAAATTTTAAAATTTTTTTTTTATTTTCACAATTTTTTTTTTAGATTTTGAATCCAATCAATTTGAGACAAACCAGAAAAAGAAAAAAAGGCTGATAAAATTGAAATGAAAATATATCAGTTAAGTAAAGTAAGGATAAAGTGATAAAATCAGGCGAAGAAAAAATACAAATCAATCAATCAATCCTTATTATCATTATCATTATTATTGTCATTAGATTTTCCATTTTGTTTTTTATAAACTTGTTTATGATAACGTTTAGGACCATGACAATGATTTGGACAACAATCCGGTTCATCATCACCATTATTATCAGAATCAGAATCGGATGATGACGAAGATGGATCACCAAATATTTTCGGTTTTTCATATATACAACAGCATTTGGATTTTTTTCGATTCAAATGTTCATTATCGATAGTATTTTCAGTAAATTTTACTTTTTTATCACTATTAAACGAAAAACAAAATAACCAATGTAAATTGATTGAATCGATCAATTGATTTTGCAAACTTACTTTTCACTTTTATCTTTTTCTGATTGTTTTAATTCAATTATAAGAGATGGTTCGGGAGAAGGTTGATCATTTTGTTCATCAGATTGTATCACAGTGGTGGTAGTTGTTGTTGTTGTTGTAGGATTTTCCCCAAAACAAAGATCAGGATTCATTTTGAATCAAGACTGGAACTGTTTTTAAGATAAAAGAAACAGCAGAAAAAAAAATTTTCACTCAAAAACAGCTGTTGTGATTTAATTCGACTATCTCGACTCAAAATGGTCCACCAATTTGACACATAAAATTTTCAAATAATTTCTTTCAATTCTTTTCCTGATTTTGACATAAATTTTGCCATAATTTCAAAATAAATAAATTATTAACAAGATGATATTCAATTTTATCCACTTTAATATCATAGCTAAGTAATGATTCAGCACGTTTATGATCATTGTCGGACATAAAATTATGTGCAGTTGTTATTAAACGATTTTTTTCCTCTTGATCTTCAACTTGTTCGTCAATAATTTTCTTATAATTTTCTATATGATTTTTACGTGAAATTAAATCTTTTTGTTCGTTCATTTCGATTAAACGACGATGATGTATAGTATAGATAGAATATTGTATTCGTTTGACAATACAATCAACAACATCGGTAAGATTTACTGAAAATGCTTTCTTTACATTACGAGCCGATGATGTTGATGAAAGATTTGTTTCGGAATAAAAATTTATATTTATCATACGATTTTGATTCATTAAATAAAGATTTCGATGTAATTCTTTTGAATCAAGTTTTAACATTGTAAGTAGATTATTTTCAAACAAACAAATCTGTTCTTGTAATGCACCGAAAATTTTCACGGAATTTTCACCAAAATTTTTACGTAAATATTCTTTAACAATAAATTTAACCAAACTGGTAAGAAATGTTTCAAAATCCAGTGAACAATTTGTTTTACCAACAATAAGAAATTGTGGTGCAAAATAATGCGATATGAATGATAATTTTAGTTGCATTTGATGTAATGAACAATCGATATTATCCATATTTGTTCGATATCGTTCGAATATTTGTTGCATATCAATATTCATATATTTCATTTGTACTGATTGTTCAAAATTTAAATCAAGTAACATTTGAAAAATTGAATCTGCATCTGAATTTTCAAATTTATCACCCAATAAATATGGAAATAATTCCATAAAATATAGCGAATTTAATGCATCAATATTGAATTTTAAACGTGATGTTTTTGATATAAATTTCGTAAAACCGCTATTAGAATCTGGATCGGTATTTTGTTTAAGTGCTTTGAATATTTGATCAGCATCATATCCATCCAAATCATCATCATTATTTTTACCGCAAAATATGATAATATTCTTCGACATCATTATCATTAATTTTTCATATAAAACAGCAATAAATTGTTGTATTTGATCATCAATAAAATCCAATGAATTTGTTTGTATAATATGATATAATGTACGTTCAATTAGATCATTGATTGATAATTGTCCCCAAATAAATAATGTTTTCAATAATGAAACACATTCAACACCAAATCGTTTATCGATTGATTTCAAATAACAAGGATAAAACAAAATATTCAGAATTTTTTCCGTATCAATTTCAAATATACGTTGTTTTTTATCACCAATAATATTTATGTTTACATAATCACAACGTATAAGTATTTCTAATCCTTTTTCAAAATCATTTCGTTTTAATGTTGAATATGAACGTGCTCGTTTCAATGTAATTGAACCAAAATAGAGAAGAATTTTTGCAACTTTTGCCGGTAATATTGAATGATATTCTTCAATTAATTTGACTAGAATTTTTTCATGATTATGAATCATTTTGATTGATTGTTAATTTATTAGTTAGTCTTTTTTAATTACTAAATTTTAAAATTTTGAAAAAAAATTGCCGAAAAAAACAAACAAATAAAAATTGAACAACACGTGATTTCTAACTCAAAACGCCATCTATCGTTCTACATGACAAACATTGAAAATTTGGCCAAAAAAAAAGAAAAAACCTAAAGATTTTTTGAAAAAGATGAATCGCTGATCATCGAATAATTTCGTTAATTAATTGATTATTGTTTTTGAATTTGATAGAAAACCCAATCTTCCATAAATGATGGTACATATCTTGTATGTTTGGAAATATTCAATTTTACATCAGGTAATTCATTGATAACTTGTTCATAATCCGCCAATGATTGTTTACAATTCATACCGATTGCATGATTTAGATAAAGACCACCCGGACGTAAACATTTCATTGAAAGTTGTAAAATTTTTCGAATAAATGACCAAAGTTTTTGATTATCTTCAACAATACAATCACGTTGTTCACTTGTACTAATCGGTATATCGGTAAGATCATTAAATATTATATCGAATGTTTTTTGTTGTTCAATATAATCATTCAAATAACGTAAACAATCATCAACGATAATTTTATAATTCGGACCATCAAATTCATCCAATGTATCGCCACATGCACCACGAAGATATTTTCGACAATAAAGCATAACTTTTTCATCAATATCAATCATTGTAACAAATTTTGGTGATTCTTTTAATAATTCATGTAAGAGGCCACCATCACCACCACCAAGAATTAGAATTTCTTTATCTAAATCGAATAATGATATAATTGGTCAATTCTTAAAAAAATAATAACCTTTCGGATTCGAATTACCCTTATAACTATTTTGACCAAAATTCATTAAACCATGTGTATATGGTAGATCAGCTTCGGCTAAATTTTGCATATCATCCAATAATAAACAATTACCTAAACTTGGTGAATGTAAAATTTTAATATTCTGATACGGTGTTGTTTCATTCACAAGTATTTCATCAAAATCATATTCCAAAACACGACCATCGGATGTAAGGAAATATGATGGTACCCGGTTATCACGTTTCAACAAGGGAATCGTTTCCACAAGATCCATTTGTTTATTATTGGCCGTTGGATTATCGTTATTGAGCGATTGTATCAATGAATTTAAACGATCTTTAAATTTTTCAATCAAATTATTCATACGAAATAATTGGCCACAATTTTTCGATAATTCACCATTTATGGAAATTAATTTTTTATCATCATCCATATTATAATAACGTACGGTAAGAAAAATTTCCTTGCCATTCGAACAGGTAAACAAATGTAATGATCCATCATTACCATCATCAACAACATCGGTGGATTTTTTCAATGCAATCCGTTGATGTTGATCTAAATCCGGATCAAATTCTTCATTGATAATTGCGATGAATGATTTCCAAAAATTTTCATCAGGTTGATTCGATAAACGAAAACTTAATAAAAATGTTTTCAATGACATTTTTTTTTCTTTTTGGTTGGTTGAAAATGGGCAAAGAAACAAACAAAATTGAATGAAAAATATAACTGTAAATATGAGATAACGGTGCTTGCTTTCTTTTGTGTTTCATATGTTTGACCTAGATATTCATTTGGGGGAAATGGTTATCTGAACCCAAATAGTTATTATCGGTCGCCAATAGATGTCGTTATTGTCGAAAAATTTCTGAGAGAAAATAAAAACATAAACATTCCATTCGAGAATTCGATTCGTTTTTTTGAATTTTTTTGTTTTTGTTTTTGTTTTTTTGAAACAAAAATAATAATGAGTAATATTTATATACAAGAACCACCAACGGATGGTAAAGTATTGTTGAAAACAACTGTCGGTGATATTGATATTGAATTATGGTCAAAAGAAACACCATTAGCATGTCGAAATTTTATACAACTTTGTATGGAAGGTTATTATGATAATTGTATATTTCATCGATTGGTAAAAGGATTTATTGTACAAACGGGTGATCCAACCGGTACCGGTTTTGGTGGTGAATCAATTTATGGACAACCATTTAAAGATGAATTTCATTCACGTTTACGATTTGTACGTCGTGGTTTGGTTGCAATGGCTAATGGTGGTGAAAAAGATGATAATGGTAGTCAATTTTTTTTCACATTAGAATCAACACCTGAATTACAAAATAAACATACAATTTTTGGAAAAATATCTGGTAAAACATTATATAATATGTTACGATTAGGTGAAAGTGAAATTGATCGTAATGAACGACCAATTTATCCGCATAAAATTCGTTCAACTGAAATATTAAACAATCCATTTGATGATATTGAACCACGTGAAAAACGTTTGAAACAAAAAGAAAAATCAAAAGAAGATCGTGCACGTGAACGTTTAAAAGGTAATAAAAATTTTCAATTATTATCATTTGGTGATGAAGCTGAACAAGAAGAAGTGGAAATTACAAAAATATCAACAGTATTCAAGAATAAAAGTAAAAGTAGTCATGATCTACTGAAAGATGATGAAAAACTAAGTTCAATACCAGTGGTTGATCCAAATGAACTTAGCAACGATGATCCAAACGATGTTCATGACGATAATGATGAACGTCATTCGAATGATGATTCCGATGATAAACAAAAACGTTTGGCCAATGTTAAAGCGAAATTTGATAAAGGAACCAAATCAATCAAGTCGACGGGAAAAAATGATGACAGCGATGATGATGATGGTGGTGGTGGTGGTGAATTGAATTTTTTCAACGAAGAAAAACTTGAGAAAAAAGCCAAAGAAATGTAAGTTTTGGTTGATGTTTGTTTTTCAATTTTGGTTAATCTTTTTTTTTTTGTTTTTCAGTGAAAAAGCCAAAGATGAATTTCGAAAATTGAAAAAACAAATGAAGAAAGAATTACGAAAAGAACAACAACAACAAAAACAACAACAACAACAAGCTGCTTTGAATAACGAACCAATAATCAATAATGCTGTAGCAGAATTTGTAGCCGAATCAAAAAAATTCAAAGAAATTAATCAAAAAATTAAGAAAAAAGGTGATGGACGTGAAGAACAATGTTGGAATTTATTGGAAAAATTTAAAAATCGTTTACAATCAACCAAACAACAAGAAGAAAAAATCGATGATGATAATGTTGTTGATGATGATAATGATCCATTACCGAAAAAAAATTTCAAATCAACATGGTTAACACATCGAATGCAATGTACGGGTAATGATGAAATTGTATTAGCAAGAGATGCAAATATACGTAATGAAGAAGATTGGTATGATATTTATCATCCAAAAAATCCAATTAATAAACGTAAACGTAATGAAAAATGATTGATTGAATTTTTCCAATTCTCAATAATTCTGTAATAAATAAACAGTAAAAGTTAATTAAATTAAATATTTTCTTGCAACAAAAATCCATTATAAAAATCATTGAAAAATTTTTTTAAAATTGATTTTGAAAAGGTTTTTTTCAAATACCCATCCATAACTGAAGAATTTTGTTTTGTTTTTTGTTTTTTTTTATTAAAAAAAATGGATAATTATCAACGACCACAACGTAGTTCATCTGAACCAAGAACACCAACAATAACAACAACAGCAAACAATATAAATCCAACAATGGATATATTTGAAGATGTTTTAGTGGATATACCATTAAGTAAACATATACCATCAGTATTAACATCAACCGATTTAATTGTTAAACAAATTGATTTAGAATCACTTTATAAATCAAAATTAAAAAAAAATCAGGAAAAATCTTTTTCAAGAAAACAAAAACAACAAAATAGTCGATCAAATTCAAAAACTAAACAATATGATGAACAACAACAACAACAAAATGTAATGGAAATTCAACAAGCATCATCATTGAATCGTTTGAAGCTTTGTACACGAAGAAAACATGGAAGAAAGTATGTATTTTTTTTTGGATTTGTGTTTGTCATACTTATCATATTTTGTTGAAAAATAATTCAGCTTAGGTAAAAAACGATTAACATTATCTGGTAAGGAAAAAACATTATCAAGACAGCAACGTGCTACTATAATAAATGATTTAAATACATCACAAATGTTACCACCATTAACAACACAACAACCACCAATATCACCGATAAAGTTTATCATTACAAATCAACCACAACCACCGAAAATATTAACAACAACAACAACAACAACAACAAATATTGTTATTGTTCCACAAAAAGATTCATTTACAAAGAATGAAATACGTTTAAATAAAATAAATAATTTGACTAGTAGTGGTTTACCAAAAACATTGGTTAGAGCAATCAAACATTTTTTAAATACTTTACCACCATAAGTTTGATAAATATATTAAAAATAAAAATTCAATGGAATATTTCACTCTTTTTACCGTTCGTTTTTTTAAAACAGCAACAACAACAATTATCTATTTATATTTTGATTTGATTTTTCTTGTAAATTATATAATGAAATACAATTATAGATTTACAAATCAGATAAGATCGAATCTTACCAAACAACAAAAAACATTCGAATGTTTTTGAGCGTATAACAGCTTATGTGAACAGTATATGTGTGTGTGTGTGTTGGTTTTCCGGTAACTTTTCCATCATGGTGTATAACACATTTACAGACATTTTTTCCCGTATTATCAGATCAGTTAAAAATATTATATGGCAGAAAATAAAATGGATTGTACAGTTAAATAACAACAACAACAACAACGAAAAAACGTAAACAAACAAAAAGATAAAATTACATATTTGGCGGTTTCCTATTTTCTTTGTTTTGAATATAAATTCTATAATGACTGTGATTGGGATCAATAGATGAAAATAGGAAAAGAAGAAGAAGAAAGTTTTGGATCGAAAGTTTATCACATTTTTTTTTTGTCGAAAAAAAGATGGATATAAATTGATAATGGTTGACAAAAAGATGAAGAATATTGTTTGTTTGTTTTTTGTTGTAACATTGAAATTAGTATAATTTGAATCATCCAAAAGTTTAGTAAGAGTATATTATGAACGATAAAATATTAACGGAATTATCATCAACAATATCATCATTATTATAAATAGTGATAGATGAAGGAATTTCAAGGGGAATTTTGTCGTCCATAATGACATTGATGATGATGATGGCAGCCAATTGATGGCCAATAAGAATGATAATGATACGGATACGGATGATGTAAATAAAATGGATGTAATCAATTCATTTAAAATAAATAAAATAATTATTGTTGATATGATCGATATTATTATTCGTTGATTATTTGGATGGCCAAAATTATAATGATAATGAAAATAATAATAATTGATTGGCGATGATGGTGAACTATTACAGCCATCACTTTCACAAAAACACATATGACCTTGTCCACCAGATTCTTCCATACAAACATGATCGACCATAAATAGATTGATCTGTAATCGTGATGTACATGTTCGCCATATATTTTTTTGTGCTAAAATTATTGATAATAATTCATATTTACATTTTTTCAAGAAAATTGAAAAAACAATAGTCAACAACAAACAACTTACGTGTATTTTTTTCCACAACAATTTTAACACAACAACCTTCACACATTCGCATTAGGCTCATATCGAAACTAACATTAAATGGATCACTACAATATGGATCATTGATTGATTCACATTCATAACACCAGACTTTGGATCCTGAATCAATTGAAAACAAAAAAATGATCGATTAGAAAATTCTTATCAAACAAAAACAAAAAAATTACATACGTAAACATTCTTCTTCACATTTGGCTATCGGTATAAATAAACTGAAAATTGTTGTTAAAAATAATAATGGAAATAAAACTAAAAACGAAAATTCATTAATTTTTTCGGATTGATTTTGATTTCTTCAAATGATTCTTACCATTGGCATTGCTCGATAAATGATGATATACAGATTTGCTGGTAGTGTTATTGATTTTATTTGTAATAAATGATCGAAAACGATAACGATAATGATGATGATCATAAATAATGAACAAATTGATTAATGGAATAAAAATTTGTTTTATCATTGTTGTTGTTGTTGGACAATACCAACATCTACGCCACCACCACCATAAACGATTTATTAATGTAAATATTGAACAAAAATCGATTATAAATAAGGATGAATTTTTTGGCCAATTTTGATGGTAATGATAATTATTGGCCATCATTATCATCATTTTTTTCAAATTTTTCGAATCTTTTTTTTTGCGAAAAAAAAAATCGAATGTTTTGGCAGCAACACACGAAGAGAGAGAGAGAGAGAGAGAGAGTGAGAGAAAAAAAATACGTTCGAATCACAATTCGTTCGAATTTCGTTTTGATGGAAGAAGGAAAATTTTGTTTGGTAAAAATTTTATTTTGTTGCGTTTAATTATTTTTTTGGTGACCAAAATCAAATGAAACATTTTGAATCAATTTTTGTTAATTGAAATGGCCATGGTCAACAAAAAACAACATTGTTAATTTGTTTGATGACATTTTTTTGTTGTTCCAGAATGGGCAGCAATAATGATAACGATTCATATCCATATTGCTTCACGACAAAACACCATCATCAACGAAGAAAACGAAAACTAACAACACTAAACTTGAATGAAGGTGAAGAATCGTTAAAGTTATTTAGGCGAAACAAAATACAGAATCGTCTCGATGAATTTCTCACTCGATTCTCGATTCTCAATGTGACAAATGACGAAAGAGAAAAATGTTTTTTTTTGATCACAGAATAATGGTAAATGATTATTATTTATTATGATGATGACGACAATAATATTAACAGAGGAAAACAATTTTTTCCTTGTTTTTTTTTGCTTGTTTATTCCTATAGTAGTGACAAGAATTGTACCGAAAAAATCGAATACCGAAATTCTGTTCATCTCACTTTCTATACTCAATTCACTCACTCAATGTCTGTCACTGTTTGTTTTTTTTCCTTCTTCTTCTTCTTCTTTTTCTTTCATTCGCTGTCGTTTGTTTTCTTCTTCCATATATCCATCTTTTCCATCATCATACAAAAACACAGAAGAAAAATAATACAACCAACCAACCAAACAAACAAACAAAACATACACATTTTTATCATCATTCACAGCAGCAGCAGCAGCACAGAATCAGAATGTATATATACAGAATCCAGAATAGAGAATTATTAATTCTTTTTTTTTTGTATCGCATAAGAATGTAGAAATATTATGAAACTAACAAACAAAAAAAATATTCTAATTATTCTTTCAATTCTTTGTATTATATATCTACAACAACAAAAATTACAAGGGGTTACTTATACTGTGATTTTCATTTTATTCTTCGAGCAGAGCAGAATCGTCGTCATACAGAATATTCTGTATACGGGCCCTGTATATTTTACCCTAAAAGTTTACCCAGTGTGTGTGTGTGTCTTTACATTAGGTAGATGTTGTTTGTCCGTGTGTGTCAATGTAATTCTCTGCATGCGATGACAATAAATGAAAATTGACGATGAACAAAAAGTAAACAAAAAAAACGACAATCCATCAGTAAATCACAGACATTTTAATAAATTCATTTCAATGTTTGACATATATAGAGCATGACAATTTCATTTTAACATGTCATATTCGAAAGAAGAAGAAGAAAATCAGAAAAATTCGGTGAAAATCAATAATGAAAAACTTTTTTTTTTCTTTTCTTTTTCTTGTTTCGCAAAACATTCATTTAGTCGTCGAATGTTTTAATAATGTTTGTTTGCTTAACAACAGCATGTATATTTGCATGAATAGATTCTAATTATGTTTGTGTGTGTTTGTCCATAATATATCTTTTTCTGTTTGTTTGTTTTGTTTTTGTTTCATACAATTTTTAGTGAAAAAAATCTTTTAAATACACTATTTATATCATGTTTTAATGTATCAATTGAATGAATATTATTTGCTTGCGTTGTTGTTGATGATGATGATGATAATGATCGTATTCGATTTCTTTTTTTAGTTTCAATTTTTTGTTTACATTCATTTTGTTGTTCATTGACCGTTCCATTATGATTGGTTAAATAAACATCATATACATCTGGATGATACATTTTGAACTATTAAATGGAAAGGTAAAAACAAATAAGAGAAAAACAAACAAAAACAAAATCAATTCAATTTTACCTGTTTAATCCATTTAAGTTTATCACGTTCACTAATTGTATTATCATTCATAATATTTTGTAATAAATCATTTAATGCTAAATCTGATAATTGATCACGTTGTAATTCATATTCTTCATTTGATATTTTTTTACAATATTCATTTGATTCTTTTTCTTTTTGTTCATTCTGTACATTTATCTACATAAAGCAAAAAGTAAAAGATTCAAATTTAGTCTATTTTTTTTTATATAGGAGAAAATAATTACCATTGATTTTTCAATTTCATTAAGAAATTTCGATGGAATTTCAAATATTTTCCAACATTCATCGATTAAAAATGTAACAAATTCTTTTGTAAATGATTCATCAAAATCACGTTCATTTTTCGATCGTATTATACAACGTGTAAATATTGTTACAATCTATAATGAAGATGATGATAATTAAGGGTTAAAAAATTGAAAAAATTAAAATTGACAAAGTTAAAAATTCGTTCGAAACTATAACTACATAACCGGACTTACATGTTCTTTCAATGTTAATGAATCATTTGTTAAAAGACAAAGTTCCTTATTCGACAATATACGTGCAAATAGTCGTATTAATAGTTGTAAATATCTTCGATTTACATTTGGTAATAATAATAATATTAATTGTAAAATTTCATAATAATTATCTGTTGAATTTTTCGTATGATTATCATTGGATGAACGAATTTTATCACTTTTTTGTCGTTGTAATGAATAGAATCGGTGATGAGCCGAATTAGTCGAAAAAGTTTTGTCAAACATATATTCACTATTTTCGGTTGGACTTTCATGATAATTATCGGTTGTTGTGTTTAACGTCGGCGTTGTTGTCTTGTTTCGACGATTTTTTCTCGGCATAGTTGATAATGCTCGAAATGTATTTGTTTCATTCGAATGATTCATGTTGTTATGATTGAATGAATATTTTTGATGTTTTTGTTGTCGAAAATAGTGTAAAAAATTTGGAAAAATATCCGATAATTCATCAATAGGAACAATTTTTGTAACAGGTTCTTTACTTGAAAATGCTGTTTCATAAACACAAATAGCCGGTAAACCAAGATCATCATCAATATGTTTTGTATTGGATTTGGATTTTGTTGAATCATTATTATCAATGAAAAATTGATAATCAACATTCGTCTTCAAACAAGATCGATACAATCGATAAACGTTGAGGAAAAGTTGATAATATAATGATGGTATAATTGGTTCTTCCATATTGATAAAATAATCACGAATCAATTGAAAAACATCGGTTTCAAATCCAGGATATTTTGGTAAACAATTTGCACTGCCTGTTGCTTTTGGCCCTTAAAAAGAAAAAATTTTGTTTTTTAAACACAGAACACTATTTTAACATAACTTACAATTAGCTAAACATTTCATTGCCGACATTATCCATGGTGGTAGATCATCATTTTTATCGGTTAATTGTACAATACCATTTTGATTTAAACGACAAACATTATTCATTATAATTTGACCATCAATATTGGCTAATTTTAAATGATCGTCGATCGATTGAATCGATGATGATGATGGCCATAATCGATTCAATTCTGACCACATTATTTGTTTATAAATGTTAATCTTTTCACGAATATCTAATTCAAATTTTGAATCAACATTTTCTTTGCCACCACCATCATTATCATTCGAAATAACGGTATCATCATTATTTTTCGATGTTAAAAATGAAAAATTTTCCAAATTTTTTGTAAAACGATAAAGATCATTATTATCTTTGATAATAATTTCATCATTTCGATTGTTTACAGGTTCAATAATACTGGCTTCCAAATATTTACGTAATAAATTCAATGCCTGTAATCTTTATTTGTAAACAAAAGTATTATAAAGTAGTCATCTCAGTAATTTCATTTTTAATTCAACGAGAAAAAAATGAATTACCTTGTAATTTTATTATCATTAAAACGTTGTTGTTGTTGTTGTTGATTATTAAGATATTGTTTTAACCATGTAATAGCATCGGTAGCTGTAAAACAATCTTGATATAATTTCATTTGTCGACGATGTTTTTTTAATTCGATACCTAAATAAAATGCTTGTAATACATCGTTCCACTTTTGAAGAAATTTTGCGGAAAAAATAGAAAGAAAAACGCAATTGAATCAGTTGAAAATTTCAGAAGAAAACAAAAAACTCTCAATGTTTGCAATCAAAATTACCATTTTAGTTGCTTTAAATTGATCATTCGATGATGATGATGACATTGTTGAATTGATTGAATCTTGAAATCTTAATGTTGTTGTTGTCATTTTATCACAGAAATTGAAACAAAAAACAAAACAAGCAAAAAAATCGAAGATTTTTCGGAATAAAATTGTCAACCAAGAATGATTCGAACGAAGGGGGAGAGAGATGGTCCATTGAATAGACCAGAACACGACGGTGACAGATGTTGCGACCTTTCGAAGAAAAAAAAAACAGAACAGAACAGCTGGCGCAACAGGCTAAATGAGCGAAAATGCTCCGCCCATCGTGTTGCGCTCGCTTGTGTGTGTGGATACCCTCCTATCACACCCAACAATCTGGATTCGACAACGGTCAAAATTTCAAAAAAAAAAAAAAAAAAAATGTCAAGGGCGTACACATAGTACGAACGGAACTTTCATTTTTTTAAAAAATTTTTAACTTTTAATTCGACTGAT